TGGTTGGCTCTGCCCCCTCCTCGGGTCCATGAGAGCCAAGCCTCAAGCCTGCAGGCCTGGCCAAGAGCTTCGATTAACTGGAAGCTTCGTCTAACCACTTTAGCTCTAGGAAGTTGGTGCCTACATGGTGGCAGGTGTTTGTACTTAGCTTGTTGTTTGTTCTTAGCCTGCTGGCTGCTCTAGTGCTCTGCTGCACAGCAGTACCTCTTAAAGGAGCCATATCCATGGGTTTTTATTTTTCCAGCTTTCTCAGGCCCTATGTGGAAATTCAGGACCCAGGTTGGGTGCCATTGTAGTTGGAATTTGCTTTGGGCTACCGACCAGCTCCCAAATAAAGACATAGAGACTTATTATTAATTATGAATGCTCAGCCTTAGCTTAGCCTTGTCTTACTAGCTCTTTTAACCTAACTGTTTCTATTAATCTCTGTTTTGCCTCAGGGCTTTTAACTTCTCTTCTATTTTGTATGTTCTACTTCCCTGCTTCCTCCATGTCTGTCTGTCTGGCCCCTGGTGTCTCCCTGTCATCTCCTTTTCTTTCTTCCTCAAGCCTAAACTCCTCCTCTTATTTACTCTTCCTGCCCAGAAGTTCTGCCTATACCTCCTCCCTCACTATTGGCCATTCAGCTTTTTATTAGACTAATCAGGTGCCTTAGGCAGGCAAGGTAAAACAGCAACACATCTCTACATAGTTACACAAATGCAACACATCTTTGCATAGTTAAACAAATATTCTGCAACACCCTTGTATTGTCTGTCTTTGGACGTACTGTACTCTGGGGATATAGGTTTGCAGAGGACTCATGCTTTGAAGAGTGTGGTGGGTTGAATGCTGTAACCCCCAAACATATCCTGGAAACTGCAATTGTGACCTTATTTGGCAAAGAAGAATCTTTGCAGACGTCTTTAGGTTAAGGATCACAAGATGGGTACCTCCTGATAATCCAGGTGGGTACCCCAGGTGATACTGAAGCAAAGGGAAGAGGAGGAGCAGACTCTGCAGAAGGGGCGGGGCCTAGATCTCTGCAGCGTCTGGCCAAGGTCATACGTAGTGGCTAGGAGCTCCAAGGATGATGGCGGCTCTGCTCTTGGAGACTTCAGTGTGGCTGTGGAGGTGTCCTGACTTCCTGCTTCTAGTTCCTGGCATTGTCAGGACACACTGCTTTTGTTTTAAGCCTTCAACTTTGACAGTGTGCCCTGGGCAGTCTGAGAATGGACAGAGCATGTCTGCTTTGGTGGTTTTGTAAAATGAGAATCTCACGGTCAGCAGAGGGGTTATTTTGGTCTCTGGGTTGTCTGGTGGGCTGGCTTGTGTTGACGGAGCAGCATCCCTTAGCCCTGTGGTGCTCACTTGGCCTGTTCGGTCCACCCCAGGCCCCACCCTCTTTCCCGTCTTGGTTCTGCTGTATGCTAATTGTATGCAGTCTGAAAGCGCTCAGTTAGCACAACACCTTCTTGGATAATCGCTTCTCTCAGTTGGCTTTGGGCTTTGTTTCAGGCCTTTCTCTCGATACTTACCTCCAGGGCACAGGCCCCAAATTTAAAATGTTGGAAAAACCAAAAGCCGAAACCAGGAACAAACACCAATAGCAGCTGACCACCTCGTGCTCAAGAAGCTAGAGGAGGTGACCAAGTGTTTGTCCCAAGGGGCTTCCCAGCTTCAGCTCAGTTTCAGGAAATTGGTACCAAAAAGGACTGAGAAACTCGAGTTCAGATTTTTTTTTAAGTCTTGTTTGGTTATTGTTTTTAAGCCTATTGTTTTTAAGATAGTTCCCACCAAGAAATAAAATACAACCTCAAAAGAAGCAAAGTACAAAACAAACATCATGAACTTCAAACACAAATGTATTTATTGGGGGCTGGAGAGATGGCTCAGCAATTAAGAACCGTCTATAACTGTGGAGATATTGTGTTCCCCAAAAAATTGTGCACCCTAATAAACTTATCTGGGGTCAGATAACAGAATAGCCACTAGATATAGAGGCCAGAAAATGGTGGCACACCTTTAACCCTGTCACTTGGGAGGCAGAGATCCATTTAGATCTCTGTGAGTTTAAAGCCACATTGGAAACAGCCAGGCATGGTGACTCATGCCTTTAATCCCAGGAAGTGATGGCAGGAAGCAGAAAGGTATATAAGGTGTGAAAACCAGGAACTAGGGCTTGGTTAAGCCTTCAGGCTTTTGAGCAACAGTTCAGCTGAGATCCATTTGGATGAGGACCCAGAGGAAACAGGATCAGCTGAGGAATTGGCAAGGTGAGGTGGCTGTGGCTTGTTCTGCTTCTCTGATATTCCAGCATTCATCCTAATACCTGGCTCCAGGTTTGATTTTATTAATAAGACTTTCTAACAATTCATGCTACACATAACCATCCATAACTCTGGTTTCAGAGATCCAGTGCATTCTGACCTCTATGGGCACTGGGTACACATACATACATGCAGGCAAGACACTCATACACATTAAATAACATAAAGCTGAGAAAAAAATGTCTTTGTTGGTCATACTGTTCTGTGATCTCCATTCAGTAGTAGAAATTTTTATGGTATCTGAAGGTAGTGAGCAGGAATTCTCCAAATATTTCTTAGATTTTAGAAGGCCCTTTAAAAAACATCTCCATTCCCAGCTTCTAGAAAATGGGCCTTCAAAGGTTCTCAGGTTGCCTTATTGAATAATACAGACATTTGAACATGTTAAATATTTTATTCACATTGTTTATAAACTATATCCACCTGGAAAACACATGAATCCAAAAATAGATTATTTTACAGTAATTCACATTTTTTTAAACAAGTTGCTTTTGAGGTTAAGCTCTGAACATAGAGGTCTTCAGCCTGCATTGCTAATCAGTGCCTCATCACTTGCCAGCCCAGCTCTGGAGGAGCTCAGGTTCAGGGGCAGTCAACCTTGTTGTAGGTCATTAACACCTTGCATGCCAATGGCAGGTGCGGGGATGTCAGTTAACCATGAACGTTTGTTGATGTCAATTCACTGTTCTTATTTTTGTCAAGAGAATCTATTGTAGAGTTTGCATACTCATCAGGCAAGAAAAGAAAAGAGACTGGCGATGTGTTCGGCTGTTGTGGGCTGTTAGGACATTTTCTGCTCTATAAGGGTTTAACGTCTTAGCCCCAGGGGGAATCAATGAATTCTGAATCGATCATGTGGACAGTTTGAATCACAGAAACAGCAGTGATTTAGAAATTAATGCACATGTCTGTTGACTAGGTCTCTGTAGAAAGGATGCTAGGCACCAGTGGGGAGGAAGGGGGCAGTGATCTCAGTCACAACTCCCAATGTGAATAATTACAAGTATGTAAGTTCAAACGGATTGGCTGCGGGTCACATGACTGTGGCTAAGTGGCAAAAACGATGATCTGGCTAAGAAACTTATTATTAACTTAGGCTACATCCAATTAGGTCCCAGCTTAGTGGCTTAGCTTTTTTTATTAAGAAATTCTTCTATGGAATATGACTAATAATTTCAAATCTAAAATAAGCATATCTTACATTTCACGCTCTCCTAAAAATTAATCCCAGGTGAGCTGCCTCAGTTGACCACTCAGAACCTCTGGAATGGGAGGATCACATGATCTTAACGGTGTCCTTAACGGTGCAATGCGGCCCTTTTTTTAAAGCAGCACCCCCAACACTGACTACCTTGGCTCCAAACACTTCATTAGGGAAATAATGTCTCACCAAGTTGCCACACCAGACCATCCCTGCCTCCCCCTTGGGATGAAGACAACTGCTTGAGGGTCTCTGCCGTCACCCCAATAGACAACAACCGAATCCAAATGTAAGTGGAGATGTGAAGAAATTTTATCATCGTGTTTGCAGGTTTTGAAGAGGAGGAGGGGGAGGAGGAGGGGGGAGGAGAAGACTTTCATCTGTCTATTTTGATCTGATTGTTTCAAACAACAGAAATCCATCAAAGGAGCTTGGTGTCGGCATAGATCATAGTTTGTCTTCTTGCCACCCATGCGCATTCTTTCCAAATTTGTACACTAACCTCCGGTCAACCCGCTCCAAAATCCCCGTCTTATAGTAGTATCTGTGGAAGCAAGCAGAAGAGAGATCCAGGGAAGGTTTGCACCCCGAGAAAACAACAGCGCGTAAACATTCCTTGCTCCTCTCGGGTGACAGGGCTTTGCCTACCCTGGTATTTCCACACCCTGTTATTACCTTACACTTAAACCCTTCCCAGACACCTTGAAGACTGAACCTCACCACCGTCGGTTCAGCGTGTGTGTGTGTGTGTGTGTGTGTGTGTGTGTGTGTGTGTGTGTGCATGATGGCTTGGGTTCAGGGTGATCCCCCCCCTCCTCACCACCCCCACCCCCCGGGAATGCTGCCAAAACTGAAAAGGATGGTGGGTCACTTTACAAGCCATAATCCCACCTGAAACTAAGAAGAGGTTTAGCTCCTGACCCTTTCATATAAAGCGGGGGGAACGCTGTGAAAACAGTGAGATTTTCTGTGGCTGGCTATTTTATGTAACTCCTCTTTGCAGGCTCATGATGTCCGATGCTGCTCGCGTACCTCAGGGCTCTGCTCAGCTTCTCATATGTCATCCTGTCATTCTTCTTCCTTTGTCCCCACATCTTGGCCAGGGCTTCTGACTTAACCACTCGGAAAATACCCTGCTCCCTGTCTTCCCATTCCAGGATGCCGCAGTTTTCTTCAGGAGACAGAAGCAAATCTCTGACAAATTCCCACAGGTGAGAGCTTTGGAGGCCTTTGGGAAAGAAACTTCTAAGTCAGCTTCTTTCTTTTTAAACTGGCTTTTTTTTTTTTTTAAGAGAGATTGTGTTTCCTAGCAACATCATAAATGACACCCATGAAGTCTCACCAACATGACCGACTAATAATGAGCTGAACAAGGAAGACACCAATGGACATGCCAAACTGGACAGGGAAAAGCCCACGAGGCCTCAATCCTACACAAGAACGACAGGCAACTGAGGGAAGCTGGGAGGGGGAGAGGTGGCCCCCCTTAGGGAAGAGCACACCAATTGGCTGTTCAGTGCCAAATGGTCAGTCCTGGAAACATAATACAAGTAACGTTATACGGACTGGATAGGTTCTATTTAGGAATGCACATGTCTACACATATATGCACGTAATGACAATTAGTGGGAAAGAGGTCATGAATTTGGAGGAGAGGGAGGGGAGTATATGGGAGGTTTTGGAAGGAGGACAGGGAAGGGAGAAATGATGTAATTATAATCTCAAACAATTAAAAAATATGCCGGGCGGTGGTGGCTCATGCCTTTAATCCCAGCACTCGGGAGGCAGAGACAGGCAGATCTCTGTGAGTTTGAAGCCAGCCTGGTCTACAAAGTGAGTTCCAGGAAA